TTATTTAATTCTACACTCTTTTATGTCTTCCAGAATAACACTGAGATGAATAAAATATTTTTGCATTGCTGACTGGACCAAAATATACATTTAAAAATGTTTCCTGGGTGGAACAGCAAAAATATCAGTATTTTAGAAATAATATCAATATATTAGTTCAAAAATATGAATGAAAGTGCTTTAAGGGTTTTAGCAACCATTGACCAAATATCTAAGAAATTAAAGGGGCATTCCGGCCTAAAACATATCATTTTAACATGTAACTTGTAATGCTGTGTAATATTCCGTAACACATCACTGCACCTTTCAGCCTTAACAGTTTGACAGATTTCAAGAGTTTGTATCCTTTTGATGTTTTCATCCTTCAGTCATCTCTCACTACAGTACTCAGCATGCATTATGCAGCTATGTGTTACAAGCACTGGAACTCCCCTGCCATGGTAAAGAAATGCACTGATGTAGAGGCTTATAAATGCAGATGTGATATTCCTAGCAGTTTTGTTAGCCATCTGGCTTTGTTGGCCAGCTAGCAGAAAAAAATCTAAAATATTTCATACAGCCCACCCTGTATCTGCCTCAGTGTGCTTGTATATTTTGAAAAGCCCCTCCCACCTTCAAGATGCATCATCAGAAGGGGGTTTTCCTAATCTTTAAACTGGAAAATGTCCCTCGAGACTATTGTGGTGCTGCTGTAGCAGGCGACTAGGCACATACAGCGGCTGTAGTAATGGTCACATTTTTAATTTTAGACAGTGTTTCCCTTTAACATTAACTGAGAGAAAATGGCCAGCGCCTCTGGCTGACTGATAACAGCAGACCGTATTTTCACACTGCAAAAGGAGGTTATGGAAGAGATCATGGTGTCTTTCTCTTTCGTCTCTCCAAGTGAAGTTTATCTGTTCAGGCTAAAATGTACCCCGACTGCATTTTCCACATGTAATCTTAATAGACTGTCATCATGTGGGTTTGTCCAGAACCGTCTCTACAGAGGTCTATTATCGTTTGCTTGCTCTGCAGGAATTTCCCAGTGGTGACTGAGCAAGCCCCAGTCCGCAGGCTTTTGCTGAACAATCAACTCCTGAACTCCTGACTGTGTAGCAGTTGATTGGACATTTTTTTTTTCTGACACTGTGTTTAATATTTTTGCCTCCTTAGAGACAAAACACACACCGTTCTAATCCCTGCCTGCAGTCAAATAGCCTCAGTAGTTTAATACTGTATACTCCGTCGTCCACCCCGGCTCTCCACTCCTCTCTCTTTGCCCTGGCCTTTCTCTTTTATAGGCTAAAGGTCTATCTTTCTTCCAAGCATGATCCACAAACAACCTAACCTACCTCTTAAAGGGGAGTTCCACCAACTTTTAAAATTTTCTAAATAATTACATGGTTAAGGCATAACATTCTAACATTCAGGCTGGCTTGATGTGAGATGCCCTGTTCTAAAGAAACTTACTGAATCAGAATTGTTCACAGTGGTGGTGATAGGAACCAGACATCCAAAGAGTTGCCTCTAAAAGCTCCCTCACATAATGTTATTATATTACGATATTGCCTGATACATTGTTTAGCCATGGTTTTGAGATAAAACACATTTTTAAAGCCTATTCATGAAGGAAATGTAAATGCAGGGTGTTGTAAGGCAAAGTAGTCCTTAAAGAAAACATGTTAACTGATTAATCACTAAGCTTACTTCACCATCATCAATCCTAATTACATACAAAAACTCAGAAGTCGCATATATGTTCAGTGGTTGTTTTAGATGATAAATAAAACTGTTATTTTTGTGTTGTAAAATAAAAAAGCGGGTCAGGGATCTCAAACATCAGGACATTTTAACGTAAGGATGGCAGGACCAACTAGGAGAACGTTCAAACTCAAAGCGTCGTGCGCTTTTTGGCTACAGTTTTCGATTTGAACAGCATGAAACGGTTGAAACGGTATGCAACGGGCTTTGAGGTGCGTTTTCTCTGGTATGATGGGTGTGTTACCCAATCAGCAGTAATGTGCATTTAAACCCCCTGTTAGCAAAAGGATAGTGGACCACTGTCGGCCCACTGAGGGCAGAGCTGGTGGGCCACTGGCGTTTTGCTCAGCGTTTTCCGGGCGGCCCACCGGTGGTTACGCAGAGTCATAGGCAAAATGCCACTTATCATGGCTCATTTTCCACTTACAGTCCAGTTTACTTATTTTTCCTTCCTTCCTTCTTTAGTTATTTTTTGTAAATTTGTTTAGTAAATAATTTTAATCTTGCCCAGTGTCAGCAACAACATTCTCTATAAAATCACTTTATATCAGGCCTAGTCATGATTTTTTTTCGCAGTTGTTTGTAATGTTTATGTAAGTTTATTTTCCAAAATAAAAGGCTCTGTGCATTGAAAATCTGTTTGAGGAGATTAACAACTAACAAAGAGCTTGTTTGCAGGACAGTAATCTGGGTGGTAAACAGTCAGTGGGGTGCCGACCTTATTAAGCTAGTGGACCGCTCGCTATCTGGGCCCCGCCGTATTAAAAAGGCAGTGCACACAACGGTTCTAATGAGGTCCTCTACAAATGCGGCCGCTGCAGCTTGAAGACGTTAGAACACGTTTGCCGTATTTTATACAGAAGTTTATATATATATATATATATATATATATATATATATATATATATATATATATATATATATATAATAAGCTAGAAGGACACCAAGAACGGCCTTCTCAGTTGCCATAGCAGCAACACTTGCGTAAGAGTTAACGTTTGACAGCGTCCTGTTTATTTATGTTTACTTAAACAGAAACGGTGCTGTTGTTGAGACGCTCAGAGGTTTGCGCATGCGCAGTGTACACACGACTAAACCTGAATAAAAAAGTTGACGCTGACCGGTGTAGCGCTGCGGCTAAACATGCTGGACAGGACACCATTATCATGTTTACAGAATTTAGCCAGCTGAACTGGAACCAAAAAGACCACTCGATTAACTTCTTCTGGTACTGTTCACATTCTGAATGGTGCGCTTTTATAAACATTAAGCAAACTGCCTCATTTGAGCTAATGCTAGAGCTAACCGCTCAACATTAGGTGAGGGACTGTCGTCGTCTTCCTCAAGACGTTAACGGTTTTCTGTTCAGTGGATGATGCGGCAACACGGCTTGTCGAGGAGATAAGAGAAGAGAAGATACTTCTCTGAACAAGAATGCACTGAGCTACGTATCTGACTTTCATATCTCAATCTTCATATCTCTTCAACATTAATGAAGTGGAGCTGCTCAGTCAGCTACGGTAAAGGAACAGGATAGATGCTGACTGTACAAGGACTACATTTCCCATGAGTCTGTACAATGGGACGTGATGTGACAGAAAATATGGATTTAAACCCCTCTAAGCCATAATTGATTAAAACCTCTATCTATCTATCTATCGAAAAACTGACAAGCAAAACCAATTACAACACTATGCTGAGAGCATATGCCCCAGTATTGTCAAAATTGCATTGGCCAGAATATTTTAAGTACCTATCACAGTTCTTGCCTTGTCACCCGTAATTGCACCTACTGAAAGGGCGCGTCTAATTGACCACCAGGGGGAGGACTCCTCCTAAAAACTGCAGGTAGAGCTCAAGAGCAGGAGAATATGCTTAGTTTTTATTGCTTTGACACAACACCTGAACCCAAAAAAAAGATATCGTCCCTAAAGGCAAAGCTGGAGAGCCAAGAAAGGCATGAGAGCACTTAGAACTGGAACTTCGGCACATTGAAGTCAGGGGCTCAAAATTCAAGTAGTAGATATCATTCTGTTTCCTATGTTTCACACCATGATTGTGAAACTACACAGACACATCTCTTCAGAATGATTTGTCCACTCTGTATATCTTTTTATTGTTTCTCTTTTTGTTGGCCATACAAAGGTTTACAGCTGTAGGAATCCCCAAAGTTATACATAGACGATAAATATCATGCTAACAAAGTATTAAATTTGTACAAAAATACTTTACAGCTCATAATACCTGTCCATTAGAAATAAAAATACAATATTTCAGGGACATAACTGTGGAATTGATTCATTAATTCATCATACACTGAAAATGGATACCCACTATTTTAATTGGCAGTGCTTAAATCCACTTAGATGATTCCACAAAAGGAACAAAAAATGAGAAACTGCATCAACAACAAAAAAAGTTCAAACATTTACATGTGAATGCGTGTTATTTGCAGTAACACAGTGAGGTTAAACTAAAGTCAGAAGAAACAAGCCATGTACTGGATGCCACAATGCTTACGGTGAAAACTTGCTCCAATCAGGCCTTGACGATCATAATTCAATATGCAACATGTCAGCATGTCAACAATATGCTAAACAATGACATTTGAGAACATCTCAAATCCAGTGCATGAGTTTGGGGAATGAACCCGTAACCTGAAGGAACCTTAGAAAACAAATGAAATCAACAGAGTTGCTCAAAACAGTCTCCATAAAGATATCCCATGTGAGTGTTCCCCTGATGAGGTTATGATCGGTAATCAAATTGGACCGCTACGTGCCATTTTAAATAGTGAGTAGACAGGGTGTGTGAGCACAGACGACAAGGGTAACATCACTCATCAAAAGCCACAATTTTACACGCACAGGTGGGTGAAGGGACATGTGGCCATAGGCAGCTTGCTTATGGACACTTTTTTTTTTCTTCTCTAACTTTTTTTTTCTTCTGAACAGAGCTACAGTTATTTTCTTTAGTGTGAAGAATGTTTCCTTGAAGTTCTACCTCTTCTGGTAGGACTGATGCAACTTACCTGACAAACCCCATTCTCACATGATGACAAGTGCCATTGTCTTTTTTTTCTCTTTACAAATAATTTGTACACCCTTTGAAGAAAAAAAAAAACAAGTAAACATACAAAACCGTACCATTACCACATACAGTAGATTAGTATAAGTTCATATTCACTTAAACAAGGGGGGAGTATAGACTAGAAGTTGTTCTGAGCCTCTTGTGTCTGGACAACTTCATGCTTCACATTTTTAAAAATCTTTTTTTTTTCCTTTCGGGGTGATGTTAGAATGAGAGCTGCAGGTCAAAGAGTAAAGATCTTGACGGCTACAAACTACTGGTGGCTAGAATGTTCCCCCTAAACTAACTCCAGAATGAATATTTCGATATTATTCTCACCACATGCTGTTCTACCCTTTTATGGACGTGGCTGACGTGAGACCGTTCCCAGCATGCCATCTTCGCCTCAGCACTGATGCAATTCTCTGTCACCACAGTCGCTCAGAACTGGCATGTCAGTCCCATTGCTTGAATCTGGGAGGAGGCTGATTTGGGACAGTCTGGAGTGGATATTTGGTCTCCGCTTTGTGCTAGCAATCGACTTCCCCCGAAATGGAACACATGCCTAGGGGTTAAACTAGTCCTACTGCTTACATCTAACAAACACCTAGCAAAGCTGCTTCCAAACCAAAATACATCATTTGTATCACAATGTTTTCTCGATCTGCACATGAGCAGCTTCCTATGAGTGTAAGGCAAAATGATTGCTTAACGTATCCCTATCCCATCACTCAGATTGCATACATCTGCTCATTGCTCACTTATAAATCATATGCCACTACTAAGAAAAATAGAAATCTGTCCAATTCTAAGATAAGGTGCCTTAGGTACCACCCCTTCAGTATCACGGTGAAACAATTCCTCTTAGTTTAATATGACATCAGGGTCCAAACAATTAGATTTGTATCTATACCAGCAAGCGACACCTGGAATAAAATGATGGCCTTTGTGTTACTCAAAATTCTTTTTTTGTTTTCTTTTTTAACTACATGTAGCCAAGTTCTCTTTTTTTGTACAATAGTACGTCTACCATTACAAAGTAGTTCAGAAAAGGTCTCATGCATTATGCTACCCAACCCACTCAGGCTGATTCACTCGCTTTTTGCCACGTTTTTGGAAAATGGCTATTGGATTCACTTTGCTGAGCTTGTGCCAAACTCTTTTCCTGCTGAGTGAGTAAGGCAGGGAACTCAGACCTTGGCATCACTTGTGAGGATTTAACAGGGGTCTTTACTATACACACGTTTGGAATTCAGCACTATAAAAGGACGGAACTGGAGGAGCCGTTTCCAGGGTACAAGGTGAACAGCTGAGGTTAGGACGTGGGACTTTTTGCAAACAGAGGACGTGGAGAATCGTTCTGGCCTAGACTCGTATAAGAATGTCCTACACATACGCGCAGAGAATGCTGACACAAGGGGCATTCTCCAATACATACACACATACATACATACAAACAGACAGAGAGGCCAGTCCATATCATGTGTAAACGTCTCAAGGTTTCCTTTTGCTTCTTTTCTTTTTGTGTCTCTCCTTAAAACTACTTGTGTTCATTGGCAATAAAAATGAGGGATGGCACTGTTTCGATTTCTTCGATTTTCTTGTCATCTTTTCAGTTTAATATTTCAAGAGGTCAGTATGGTCTTCCTCCAACGTTAGTGTAATTCCCACAGGAGTAAAAACGCACCCAGCAGGCGTGGAGAGGACACCTCTCTCGGTCAGTGTGGCTCATGCTCTGGCTCAGGGAAGAGACTGGGTGTGCTATATCACGGACAGGCTCCCGCTCGCTCCCAGTGGGGGGGAGCAGTCAGGAGGGGTTCAGTTAGCACCATGAGGAGCACTCGTCTGCCAGCGCTGGGAGGGTAGGTTTTGCTATAAGGTCTTGTTGGGGTCTCTGTCGTCCACCCCTGCCAGCACGGAGTTCTGCTGGGCCGCCTCCTGTCCGGCCGCTGGCTGTAGGAGGGGCTCGGAGGGGTCAGTCCAGCCCACCGGCTCCTCATTGGGCAGCTGGTTCAGTTCTGAGGGCGGCATTGACACCGGGTTCCGACTGATGACCAGGTCCAGTTTGTTCCCAGACTCCGCAATGAGAGGAACCACCAAGCAGCAGTCGAAGTCCCTGGTCCGGACGTGGTTGATCTGTGATGGGAACGTCAAAAAAACGTTTTAACGTTCATAAACAGTGTAAAGTCACGCTAGTACTGTTTAGTTGTATAAGGTTGCTGTAAGACTCTGCGAATGGCCGGTTAATGTAACTTAAAGTAAGTATGCACTACAGTAGCCCTTTTAAAATGCATCCTAACATTTGCAAATGTGTGGAAGCTGTTAAGATATACAAACAGATAACTTTCAACAGCCTTTACTGCATTTCAATCATAGAATAGGCAAGGGAGATCACTATGCTAATGAGACCTTTAGTTCGTCAGGCTACATGGGAAGATCCATTGTCCATCGACCCACTGCATTATTTCCCCTGTTGGTTGGTCTTTTTTTGTCTTATCCAAACAAGATGAAGTTCACTGCAATGTCTTTCGTCCAATAATTGTTTTATTTGTGCTTGAATGTGCTTTGCATTTCATCAGAGTACATATCAAGAAAGACGAAACACAGAGAGCTGTGTCTCTTCCTATCCCTAATGACCTACAGCGAGACATGGACCGCATCCATAACACTTTCATTGTGTTGTGTAGAATGAATGCTTACCTGTAGCAGCCTGTCATAGGGCTTCAACCCCCCCACCTCTGCAGGTCCCCCTGGACGGATGTTGTTGACATAGACACCCTTCTCCAGGAGCCCATCAGACACACTGAAGCCAAAGTCCTCCAGATCCGACTCTTTGAACAGACTCACCTGTAGTAAAGAGACGTAGGTCAGGTATGTCTTGCCATATATAGACACTGAATTAGCTGAAGTATCTTTACTATGATCGAGTGAATGTTTCCAATGTCAGTAAACAGTTATTGGTTTTGTATGGTTTCAGGCTTTTACTTAATACTTACACAATTTGTTATGACAGGTGTGTAGTTGCAGTACCAAAAATGTATCCCAATTTTTGTCTATTTTTTACATTTTTTTCCTTTACATTATGTGAAAATTTCATGATCAATGGACCAGATGAGATAGAATCACTTGTAAGTTAACAATGTTTTTTTCTTGTAAAGTTACTATACTATAGATACAGTGGGGCAAATAAGTATTTAATGCATCAACAGTTTTTATTAAACATATTCCAATGCAGATATTCGTATGAACTTTAGAACAGACATTGGTATTAACTCAATAAAACATAAAAAAGTTATGTGCAATAAAGGAAAAAAACATTGTACACGCTAACTGAAATTTATTTAATGCTTAGTGGAGAAGCTTTTGTTTGCAATGACAGCTTCAAGATGCTTCCTGTAACTCTCTCACACTGTCCAGGTGGGATTCTGGCTCATAATCTACACAGACAGTCTTTAAATCTCCAAGATTCTGGGGAGCTCGCTGGTGAATTCTGATCCTCAGTTCCTTCTACAAATTATCTATTGCGTTTGAATCTGGTGATTGACTGGGGCATCCCAACACCTTTATTTTCTTCCTACGGAGCCCACTGAGTGTCTCATTTGCAGTATGTTTTAGATCGTTGTCCTAGAACATCCCCCAATGCCTTATCCTCATGGTCCTGGTGGATGGCAGATTCTACTCAAAAATTTCATTATCCCATTCATTTTCCCTTCAATAATTTGGATCCTGACAGTACCAGAAGAGAAACAGCACCAAACCATTACGCTTCAACCTCAGAACTTCCGTATGGTATTTTTGGGGTCATATGCAAAAGCATTTCTCTTCTAAACATGGCGTGTCATGTTGTTGTCGGAAAGTTTGATTTTTGTCTTGTCTGACCACAAAAGTCAAATAGCAATCTACAGACTTCTCCAAAATGTTCTGTAGCAAACTTCAAACAAGCTTCAACATGCCTTCTCCTCAGTAATGGAGTCTTCTGGGGTGATGAAGAATGGAGATGGTGTCAGTGGAGTGCACGGCCTGTTGTTTTTTCTGTGATGACTGTACCTGCTGCTTCCAGGTCTTTCTGAAAATTTTGCAAGGAGCAAGTGCTTACAGACCAATAGTGCTAACAGGAACATTTAGGAGTAGAGAAATCTGTTGGTAACCAGTGCCATTGCTATGCTGCTCAGCTCACCTTGTTGCCAAGGTTTTGGGAGAGGTCTTTGCCTCTACTCATCATCAGATGTGTATTGTGACAGCTTGGTTTCAAGTGATTTGTTTACTTGCATTCAGAGGTGGGTACCCCTTTTACAAAGAGTGGAAGTAGTAAACTATGTCCAACTAGTCCAACTGATTCTAATTAGCACAGGTAGGAACTAATTAGTGGAATCACTAATTAGTTGGTTTGGTGCTTTTTTCTTACTGTGTTCAAAACATTTTTCCTGTGTCATTCCACTTTACTGCACATAACGTTTTTTATAGATAAAAATACCAGGGTACCAATGAGTTCATACCAATGTCTGGTCTACATTTCATGTGCATAGCTGCACTAGAAATATGTTTAATGAATAATAAAATTGCTGCTGTGTTTGATACTTATTTTCCCCACTGTACGTTTTTTTTTTAACAATTTGTGAGATCTTGTCAGTTTCTTTCCTCTTAGTGATGTATACAAAAGCCATCTAAGAGCTAATGGCTCCCCCTTGTGGAGAATCTTCATCCTGTTAAATGTAAGTATGTCAGCATGTCATTCCTTGTCACAACTATGGACAATATAATACAATAACACAATTGTATACTACAATGCTGCTATCTGGTTGGTTGTAGTGTCTCTCTCCTTGCACTACAATAGTAATGTCCTATACATTTGTGTGTGGGTATATATATATATATATATCGGATGGAAAAACCATATTTTACTTTAATGTACGTCAATGGAACCAGACAATTTACCAAGCGATTTTGGGCTGTTTCTTGTGGTCCATTCATGTTGAAATTTACAAAGAATATGAAGGACAGTAGGTATTTTCAAATTATGTCAAAAACTGAAAAACAACAAAAATGGAGATAAGAGGTTTTTGGTCAGACAGCAGCCATATATATATATATATATATATATATATATACACACAAACACACACACACACACACACACTGTCTTCTTCTCTATGTATATTTTGGGTTGTACAGAAATAACCTGACCCTCATCACAAGCATATCAATGCATCACACACATTTCAGATGTCCTTGGCATAATATTATGATAAATAAAACTTTGCAAGTGAGAAACTGAGAGGTTGAGGTCCATGTGTTTTGCACAGAAAAAAATTGTAGAAAGCTTTCTGTGATCAGTGTTATGAAAATAAACAGATCATTAATTACCTTGTGTAGCTCCACAGGGTTTGGCGACATGATGTCCTTGATCTCCTGCTTCATCTTCCTCATGGCGAAGGCCTTGCGGCCCCCATCGCTGGGCAGTGTGTTGCTGCGGTTAGCCTGTGTGTACTGAGGCTTGTTGCTGCCACGCTCCTGGAAGCTGGCCTGCCTGCCCAGGTGGGTCCGCGTGGGCGCAGGGTCATGGTTCAGACTGAGCGTGCTCCCAGACATGATGGTGGCCTGCAGCGCATCACAGAGAGAGAGCAGTTCAGAAAGGCACATTATGGACAACACAGTTGCTCACATGCTCCTTGATGTTGCATTGCTTGGTCAGTACGCATATCTGCATGTTGGGTAAATGAGGTAAATGTTCACACAGTCACACAGAGGTATGATGGACTACGGCATCATCTAGCTCTCTTTTCACAAAATCACTTTTTTGGGGAGACAGACAAAAAACAAAGGCAAAAACACAGATTGAACCCCCTGCTTGCTTCATCAACATCATTCCTCATTTCATCAAAAGACTGATGCACAAACACTCTTGCTAACATGCATTGTAGCAGACAGAAGATGAACACCTATAGAACCATACAGTTTCAAAGATTTCCACCATGGCAAGCCATGGCAATGGCTAATCACACACACAGCTTTACAACTCAAATGCATTTAGGTCAGTACAAATGTTTAATGGTGTCATTTGAAGCGAGAAAATCCTTCAAACATTAGGGAGCCTGCTTTAGGAAGACAGGGTTACACAAGACTGAAATGAAAAAAAATGAACAAAAAACGAAAAAAGCCTTGCAGCGGCTCTCCCATCATGCTTTGCATGAACCCACATCATGCCCATTTTTCCAGATCTGCATCACTGGACAGTTCTGAGTGATTCTCACCCAAACTGTACTGAACTGTATTCCAGGTTAGCGATGGATGTCAGTGCAAACTGAACTCTCCATCTCACCGAGGTGATGCACTTTTTTTTTTTAAATAGAAAACGACGACATTTAGTCATGCATACCTGCACAAAACAGCTGTCAAATCCATGTAAATAATTGTTTTCCCTTCTAAATGTTTTCTTTCCTAAACACAATGTAACACACTTAAGACATTAACCAACGGCAAAAACTTTATAAAGTCAAATTAGAGCCCAAAGGTACATTCAATTTGCTCTGATTTAACTGGATTTCAACAGAGCAAACGATATTAAAAACAGCCATATCATTTTAATGTCATTTGAACATGACTCCACATCGACCTCTATATAGGGCAATGCGTCCGGTTTAGAAATACCTGCGAAATTAGATCTTAAGTCAAATCCATCTGTATTCTGGAAATGCTCTTCAGAATTAATCAGGGAATGTTGATTCAATGTGATATGAGAGCAAAAAGCAAATCAGCCGTTTCATGTTACTAAGAGGCTGACTGGAATGAGAAACAGCACAAATCACAGACTCTAACAGCTGATGCCAGGTGGAAATGTCTTCACAGGTTCCTGCAGCTAAGACTAGCTCTCTCAGTTTGACTTATATCAGAGTTCTTCAGCGCTCATTAACTGCTGCTGTCTTTTGAATGCACCCCCAGGATGTGAAGAGTATAACCCAGCAGTGGTTGTGTGTAAGAACTCCCCTACTCCCACCCCACCCCCCAGCAGGCCGCTAGCGTGAGACACTGAGCCCAGCAGCACAGGGAGAGCACCAGGGTGCTACAGCGCTACAAGCAGAGAGGAAGCCCAAAAAAGGAAAGGGGTACCAAGATGGCCAGGTTTCTCTTAGTCAGAAGCCTGTCTGGCTTGTCCTGGAAAGAGAAGGAGCAGTTACACAAAACTAAAGGTGTTATGTCATGCATGTATAGACGGGGGTTGAGTGTTTGGGGTGCATATAGTGTGGTGGTTACCAACCCTGGTCCTGCATATTTTGGTATTTTCCTGATCCAACTAATCAGTTAAAAGCCTTCCTAAGCAGAAATGGTTTAATAAATCTTTAGCCACTGGCATGAAGACATGAACTATCCACCCTGTACCTGCAGGCATATGCGCATTATGCAGTTGTAGGCAAAGGTTGAGCACCCCTGGGTCAAATTACATGTTTTGTTGATGTTCCAATTGAAAATAAGTCAACACATCCTCTACAGAGAACACACTTCTGCACATTTGGAGTTAACAGGAAATTTAACGCCCTATAAATTCCTGTTTCTACCTTCCATTTCCCTTGTTTTCACAATCCACACCACCATCCCATCTTCTGTTTCTCAGACCTACCAGCCTTCAAGCTCTAAGCAGAAGCCACCCAAGTTCTCAGAGTTCTCTCCCCTCTCTCAATCACAATCTCCCCCATTCTACCACCATACGTTGAAGGCACAGTCCGAACTGGCAAAAGCACAATTACTCTTTATTTGCTGAATTTAACATATTGGATAGAAAGAAATAAATATTGGATAGAAATGAATTTAACATATTGGATAGAAATAAATAAAGTTAGAGTAAATTTTATATTTTGTTTCATTTTTCCAGTGTTAGTGCACTAAAAACATTGTAATTCCATATTTCAACAAATATGTAAACAAAATGTGTAATTTGAACAGAGTGTTTAAACTTTTGCATATGACTGTATGACTAGCCTATGACTATGATTCTATCATTAGCTGCTAATGCTACCTTTTCCTTACCATAGTCACCATAGTTATTAGCTCTTATGGAACAAAGGCAGAGATATCAGATATGTTTTCAGGAACACTGCTTCTCTGGCTTCTCTTACTGACTCATTAAATGTGGGTTTACAGTTATCTACAGTTTTAGTTTTAATACTAAAAATTGGCTTGTGTTATATCAACTCATTGATATCTTGTTAGGTGGTGGGGGCTGTGTGTGACTTCAAAGTCAACCTGAAATCAAAATGAATCTTTAATACCTTGTTAGTTAATGTCCCTGATCATATCTGTTTAGAACTGTGTAGACATGTCAGATTGCATATTGATTGGCAGTCTCCCTGGCAACATGAACAACCCGACGTCAGTGGTGAAGGGGAACGACAAAGTCAGGGATGCTGAAGATGGCACACACAGCAGACAGGGTTACGTGTTTAATAGAACATTCTTGTGCTGTTTTTACATCAGAAGTGCACAACTGGCAAACCTCCCTCAAAGCAAGTGCAACTACCACTCCCACTGTGTGCTTCATGGTCAGAATGGGAGGCAGTGCTTTTGAGGAAGTGAAACCTCAATCCTCGTTTACCAAAAGTAAACTTTATTACCACAAGCTTACTCCTTGTCGAGGAGGACTTAAGTTGTTTTCATTTTGCTGTAGTCCAGCCACACTTGTTGGCTGATTTTAATTCACGTTCCTTTCACAGTTTAGGTGAAGGCAGAATTATGAGCCATGCGTACACATAGTACTGCACTAGCTACAAACAGAATCAGTTTAGCTAAATTACCATTAACATTATAAGAAACAGACAGAATTTTTTATATTTCAATAACCAACTATTCACTAACAAAAAGGGTTTATAGGTAACACAAGAGGCTGAGGTAAACATAACTCTTATTGGCAGGGTGGTAGGTCTAGTGATGCATGTTAAATTTAGTCCCGCCCAATGCAAATTGGACAGAAGGAAATTCTATCATTTTTTCTCTGCCAGTTCATAGTAATTTCATGACAAAAAACTGGAGATAACAGTTCATCATAAAAATGAGTAACCAAAGCATGATTACATTCATTCATCACATATCATTTAAAAGACAAAATTCTTTTTTCCTGCAATTGTCTATCAAAATGCACAGTGTAATCTTGCCTGCCACTAAAACATCTTCTCAATTTTTATTACGTCACTGTGCACCATTAGGCGGGGGAAAAATAATACTATCCAATAATATCATGTTTCACCTTTCCCTCCCACCACCCCCACCTATATCATCAAAAGACCCTCCCGAATACTGTATTTCCTTCTATACCAGCATATGGAAATATGGTATGAAAGGAAACCTACCCAACTTATAAACCCATACTCTTGAGAGCTCACTAGTGGTTCAGGCACAGCGGGCGCATGCCCAGTAGGTCCACTTGATAATATCTATCTTTATTTCCGAGTTGCGTCAGAGCATGACGACATTAAAATGTGCAGGACGGGCTACTCCAGGACCAGGGTTGGCAATCACTGTTATAGTGGAAAGGTGGGTGAGCATGACTGATAGCAGTGGTGTCTCATTTATGTTAAAGGACAAGAGTCCACAGCTACGTGATGAAATGAATCATGGCTCTATTAGAGTGTGTTGCTGAGTGTGTTGTTACCTCGAGTTCCCGGAGGATCCCCGACTGACCGCACGTCTCCAGATCCTCCAGCGCTTGTGACCAGAAGTTCTCCTCCTGGTCTGGCTCTGTCCCGTCGTGGCCCACAGTGAACCTGCCAATGACAAGCAAAGGAGAATCAAAGCTCTGCTCTCCCCTTTACCACAGGAGCCAATGAGCAGGCAGGCACCACAGTGATGAGCGCTGTGGACGATCAATGGGGGCTGTGCAGGCATTGGCAGTGGAGGCAGGGCTGGAGATAAGAGACACACAAGAGACACAGTGTCCGGTGTGGCTGGACACACACAAATGGTGACGTTATGCCGGGCGGTAATGCCGGCGGAAAAAGTGGAGGCATGGGGTGAGGGGCCATTTGGGAAGCGGTGCAGACATTGGGAGGTGCACACGGCACTGAGCCTCACCTGCTGTCTGAGATAAGGCCAGTGGGCAGCGTGGTGGCTCTGCAGGTAACGGAGAGGCAGCTTCAATCAACAGGGTCACGCAAACACATCTATTTTGGAGCAGTGGTCACCAACCATTCTCTTAGAGAGCTACATTTCTGCAAAGTTTTGGTGTGTTTGGATGGTCCAACTAATGGATTTTTGGATTTTTATCTAATTTATCACGTGATTCTACAAAGCTGGGAGGGCCAATGACAATGTTTAGTGCAAAACAATTATTTATTGTTGCCTGCTTACTAATAGAACCTGCCTATTACCTACAGGTAAGATTCATTTTACAACCAATTTCCAAAAAAAGTTGGGAAGCTGTGCAAAATGTAAATAAAAATAGAATGCAATGATATGCACATCATGTAAACCGTATTTTTAAAGGAAAATACTTCAAAGACAACACATCAAATGTTTATTGTTTTTTTGAAAAATATATGCCCATTTTGAATTTGATGCCTATAACATGTTCCAAAAAAGTTGGGACGGGGCATGTTTACCACTGTGTTTCATCACCTCTTCTTTTAACAACACTCTGTAAGCGTCTGGGAACTGAGGAGACACTGCTGTAGTTTTAAAAGTGAAATGTTTCTCATTCTTGTTTGATGTAGGATTCAAGCTGCTCAACAGTTCAGGGGCTCATTTGTCATATTTTTCATTTCATAATGCGCCAAATGTTATTAGTGGGTGACAGGTCTGGACTGCAGGCAGGTCAGTTTAGCACCCGGACTCTTTTAATACAGAGCAATGCTGTTGTAATACATGCAGAGTGTGGTTTGGCATTGTAGTGCTGAAATAATCAAGGCCTTCTCTGAAACAGACGTTGTCTGGATGGCAGCATATGTTGCCAAAACATGTATAGATCATTCAGCATTAATGGTGCCTTCACAGATGTGCATGTCACCCATACCATGTGCACTAATGCACCCCTATACCATCATGAATACTGGCTTTTGAAATGTGCACTGATAACAAGCTGAGTGGTCTTTAGCCCAGAGGACACAGTGTCTATGATTTCCAAAAAGAATTTCAATTGTTGATTTGTTGGACCACGGGACACTTTTTCACTTCCCCTCAGCCCATTTTAAATGAGCTCGGGCCCAGAGAAGGAGGCAGCATTTCTGGATCCTGTTTATATCTGGTTTCTTCTTTGTGTTTTAGAGTTTTAACTTGCATTTGTGGATGTCTGCATGATCGTGCAGACTTTCACAGAATGGTAAACCCCTCCTCATCTTTACTTCTGAAAGACTCAGCCTCTCTGGGATGCTCTTTTTATACTCAATCATGCTACTGACCTGTTGCCAAACAACCACTAGGTGTTTTTTTAGCATTAAACTTTACCAGCTTTTTGTTGCCCCTGTACCAACTTTTTTGGAACGTGTTGTTGGCATCAAATTCAAAATGGGCTTATATTTTTCAAAATATAATAAAATATCTCAGTTTTAACATTTGATATGATGTCTTTGTACTATTTTCAATTAAACATAGGGTTTGAATGATTTGCACATCATAGCATTTTGTTTTTATTTGCATTTTTGCACAGTGTCCCAACTTTTTTGGAAATGGGGTTGTACAATCATTTCTGCACATTATGGTACAGAAATTGATTCGGTGTCATGAAGTGTCATGATGTATTCACCATTAACCTGGTAAGGTACACTGTTTGCTAGCATGCGCTACTGTGTTTATGTAGCATGCAGGAATGTTTACAGCAGATGTGATGCATCACAGTTTATAAACTCGAGTAACCAAGTAATTTAATAATTTATGACAATTATTTACAACTTTCTCAGTCATTCAAGTGAAACTTGCATTTGTTAAACATGGAAATTAATGAGTTTACAAGGACCGTCCAAGCGGAGCATACTATTCTGGCTATTCTGCCTAACACTAATGTACCTGATCCAGCCAATCAAGGTCATCTGAAGACGTTACCTAGCTGAAATAAGTGTGGCAGTTATAGTTGGAGTACAGGAAGGTAGGTCTGTAGGACCAGGGTTGATGACCACTGCTTTAGCAACGTCAGACACAAACAGCAGCCATCTGCCCAGAGAAGCAGTCACCACAGTCAGATGCTACATATCTGTTTTTAGTGCTTCGTGTCTCGCTGCAAAGCAAAGCCATTAGCGTTGCTTTAAAATGAGCTTTAATGGCTTGGCCTTCATCTGTGATGTATTTTTTTAGCTGCAGGTTTCAGTGGGGTTTCTTATAGCAGGATGAGTACAGAAAAGGAAGTGGCTTTATACTGCAGTAAGTGGTTGCCTCTACTAAAACTGACCTAGTTTTGAGAGTTTCTGAACAGATTAAGCCTGTTACATGCATAGATGTCTCCACAAACTTTCTTTTCTTCCATATTCAGGAGCTTTGATGCCAAGCATATGAAGTGAAATATCATTAGCTTGACTGCACTTAATCTTACATTACCATTCTTCATTTTTATTGTTGTCAGGATTTAGAGTAGCAGATGCCTTTTTGTGCTAAACATTATAAAGAGGTTTTATAAATCTGTCCACTTCTGAGTTTTCACTGGCTTTTCTAAACAAGTTTTCCAAAAAATCACTTTCCTGCAGCCTGAAACAGAACTACTATATGACAAGGCCATGCAAGGAGAAGCACAATTTACTGAACAAAGCATCTGTCAAAGTCCTACAGTGTTTCATAACACAGTGAATTACAAACTCATCAGTGTTCCAATGATGCTGCCATTCATGTTCTGACCCAATTTCATTTCACTCTGTTATCATTTTTTGAAAACTCTCTATTACATCACTACTTTCATAGGGATGCATGAATAATTATGCATAAACCCAGACGCCAGAGCCAAGTTTTACACCTCGGATCATTTACTGCAATGATGTTGATTTCAAGGGTGCTTTCTGAAAAATACTTTACAATTCTGCGTAGTGTAACTTTGGTTCTTTTAAAATCTCTAAACATTTTGAGCCGTCACATTTTATCACAAACAGCAATCAAGCTTCATTCACTACAGTTGATTATCTTCTCAGCTTAAAGTCTGTGATCAATGGACTTAGCAAAAATACAAACTATTCATCTGTATAAATTAGCTTTGTGAAGAAATCTGTTCATATTGATGTTTCAGCCCATATTAATGCTTGGAAATAAAGGAAGATGAGGAAGGAATGTGACTAATCCACATTTTGCTGGGAAAGGCTTTGTATGCCATTCCACATCAAAACACTGACTATGTGCTTAAATTAGCAAAGCCTACTAGCTTTTATCCAAGCTCTCAGCTTGATAGCCAATACCGAATCTCATATATTAATATAATGTCGCTGTCATATCAAAACATCGTAACTCAACTGACTGTTTGCAAAATAATGACTGACGCCTCTCAGCCAATCGCAAAAGTTTTTAAAAGTCTCTGTCAGGCAAAGGAGGAACTCCTCAAAACAAACCTGCAGTGAGAACGGAGGTGGCAGTAAACTACTCAGAATTATTAGACTGAGAAATGGTGGAAAGCTATTGCTGAGGAACATATCATGGCACATGCTGTCTGGATCATCTGGAGGGTGGTGCTGTTATTGTTTCATTCCTAAAACTGCTGAAACTGAGAAAGTTCTGGATTAATCATTGGCTAAACTATCAACATTCAGATTTATACTGGCTCTAAGGTACACTAAACATTATCTAGATTAATTTATTTGCCAAAAAACATTTTAATATGATATCATGATATATAACGTCACAGAAAAATGTTAAGGCCAGTTATCTAACTAGTTAGCTTTTCTTATTTATCTGCTGACAGCTGATAAGCTAATAAATAAAACAGATCAAACAGGACTGTACAGCACTCACATCTGTTATTAAAATATCCTGTGTAAAGATCATTTAGTAATGCACACCACTGTTTATATTATTTCATTGAAGTTTAAAGACCTCGCATAAAAGTCTTCCTCAGCACCTGACATTACTCTGACTAGCTCTAGTGTTAGCTTTAACATTAGCTCATCTGAAGGGGCAGCTTCTGTGGCTAAAACCTTCTCCTTATTATACATGAAAACCTGCTGCTTTAACGTTGTTACGTAACAATTTTCTTGGTTTCATTAATGTAACCATTATTTCCAAAACATTTTTCTTTGCTTAAAACTGGCTTACATTCACAGTTTGTCAGTTCTCAAACATGTATTTCTGCATCTGGTTAAATCTAGTTTCTTTTTGATTGAAAAATGTTTACATGTACTGATTTTACAAGTGTTACGGATGCTACCAGGTAGCCTGAGCTTTAAGTTTGATGGAAATAAAGGTAATAACTATGGAAGGCGTGATTGAATTACAATTTTTCAAATGGTCAGTTTCTTGATTCTGAAAATGACAGTTTTCCTTCACATTGTGTGAACACTTAATGACAAATGGATTGACAGTGCAAAATTACTTGGAATAAAATACTGTTACAGTACAATTTTTCTTTTGCTTATGAAGTTACCATTTTGTCAAACAAGATTTTGTGAACAGTGAACTAAACGGCAAGTGCAAATTTGACATTAACTAACATTAAGTGTACATACTGGTGTACATACAGCTTAATGTTTTGGAAGGTTCCTTTTGCTCTTTTAGAACTGTGTGTGCGCAGCTGTGCTGGTGGTAATTACCCGCTAGCAGCAGGTCTGTCCCACTCATCATCACTGAGACCCAGGTCCTGCAGGATATTGTTTCTCTGACGGCTGCTGCTGACCGGAGAAAGACTGCCCCGGCTCGCTTTGGCGTTCCTCCACTCATGGCTGTGGAAGCTGTAGCCTGACGCCTGGAAGCCTGTAGGGGCTGGAGCACAGATCCATGCACACAGAGAGAATAAGAGAACAATATTAATTTGTAGATTCATATCTACACTTTACCGTCCCACACTTTTAAAAATGGTGGCAAAATAACAAGCACAGTATTATGTTATTTATTAGTTGTAACAATGCAGAATAAAAACTATTGAGCATAAATGATCATCTCACCCTGTATTATCAATGCACACTGTATTGGTGTAAAATTGGCAATATTTGAATCTTGCAGTTCTAGGTAGAATCAGATTTTGGAGTTTCACGTTTATTTGGGTTCATTACTGAAGAGCTAATAAGTCATTAATCCTTTCAAGATGTGTTCCATATTCTAGGGTGCAGTTTTAACCACTGAAGTCTTGTATGGAAAACATATTGACATATTAATGAATAATTCAATCTTTTAGGCAACCAAAATACCATGAATAGGTAATTAACTTACTGAAAATTTCTTCACCACCTTTTAGCCTGTAGAAAGGGATGACTAAAACTCTACTTTAGAATATGGAACAAATGTTAATGTATTAATGACTTATTAAACTTATTAAAGTGGTAAATTTACTCTAAATTTAGTCTAAACAAGCGAAAAAAAATGCAATTATTACTAATTATTATTAGTTATGTACTAAAACAGGTCATAATAAATAAAGATTAATGCACAGTAAATAAATAATTTAGAAGTGTGTAATTTTGGGTTTACTGACCAAAGAACAAACCTTAATAAACCCCTAATATGTGTTCCATAAACTAAAGTGATACCAGATGCACTTTTGTGAATGAGATGTGCAAGTTTAAAGAACCATTTTGAAGTTTATAGAAGCTTGGCGTAATGTAAAGGCTGTGCCAAGAACCATTTAGGAACCTCTTTAAGTATGCACCAGAGACACATCGTCAACCACTAAGAAGGTAGCCCCAAGAGAATTCATCAGTATTCATAAACGTGTCATAGAAAAAGTTTTTTGGGATATTTAACCTGTTTCAAATGCTATGAACTAAACCTAAATACGGGTAAGTAAAGGTTTTAAGATAAGCTTAAAATGTTCTTTGAAGTGAGACCTACGCTGAATGTAATGGGAATTTACATCTAGGCATGAGAAAATTCTCGATCTCATCCAACTACCGAATGTGTCAATCACAGTAGCAGTAAAGCTAATTTAGAAACAGAACAGTCTTCACTGCCTGTACTGGGCACAGCGGTTGGAGAGAATGGACAATACTAGGTGACTGGGTATTATTGGCCAAAATAGGATATGCAAGGGGAGGAGCAGAATGAAGCCTGTAGTAAAACAGATGACTTCACTGCATTGACAAACCCATCCTACTACTGAGAGCTGGGGTGTTGCTACAGAAATCTCTGATAAGAGCTTTCCAATAATTCTTACACTGATATATTAGCAAAACAGTTTGAAAGGAAATAAGCAACCCAAAGTAGTCATTAGGTATCCCGCTGTTGTCCAGGGGTATTAACCCCTTAAAATCTCAGGCTTATTGCATACTAAGGCTTATAATTCAGTAACTACAGGAACTTCAATGCAAACTAGTTGAGCTATTCTAAGCTTATAAAAGTATTAATAAGAGGTTTTTCTTCCTTTTGCTGCATTAACAAATAACTACACTATATATCCAAACGTTGCAAAAGTTGCAAGGCTTTACTCTAGATGTTGGAACATTGCTGTGAGGATTTGACTGAGCATTAGTGAGATCAGCTACTGATGTTGGATGATTAGCTCTTGATTGCAAACGCCACTACAACTCATCCACTCATCCCAAAGGTATTGGATGGAGCTCAACCACTCCAGAAATGCAGTTCCACTGCTCCACAGCTCAATGCTGAGGTGCCTTTGGGATGTGTTGAAATGATCCAGAACTAATCATCCAACATTAGTACCTCACTAATGCTCAATCAAATCCTCACAGCAATGTTTCAACATCTAGAGTAAAGCCTTCCCAGAAGAGTAGAGCCTGTTACTGCAGGAAAAAGGGGACAAAGCTCCTATTAATATCCTTGCTTTTAGAAGAAACCCTGGGCGAACAGGTGTCTTGCAACTTTTGGAAATATAGTGATCATTATAAATTGTTAAGTAATGTTAGAAGCTAGCCTAGTTGGTAAATATATGGTAATTTTATTAACATGAGGGAAAATGCAAGCTGTAGGGTAAGGCTCTGTGACCTCATATGTGGCACTCTGATGCTGAATTTCTATTATATCATTTATCATTATTATCATTTATTGTGAGTCCTGTGAAAGCCTGCCTGTCCTGAACAGTGTCAGACTTGAACCAGTGCACCACTTACATTATTTAGCAGGCAGATTGCCATTTCTTGTGCGTGTCTCGAATACCTGTGTAAACATCTATGATTCAGACTTCTATACAAAGCAGATAGAGCAAGAGTGCCTTGGGGGTGGGATGTGCTCCATACAAACCTATTAACATGAGGGGACTGTCTCTTTCTTATTTCTTTAGGGTGAGAAAGGGATGGAGAGAGAGAGAGAGAGAGAGAGGATGGCCTTGAGGTGGTATGTGTCGGTCATACAGGGTGAGATTTATCATCTCTCTAAGTGAGAATTGATTGAAGGCGACACGCGATCGTTAAGGGGGAAGGTTAAGGCCTCTGTGGGAGGTGGGCTGAGCAGGAAGATGGGCTTTGGCCTCAACGGCTCATGGATACCAATGAGAGAGTGAATGTACTGCAGTAGTGCTTTTCAAACAGCAGCACTGATGATATATGACCATGTTCCATGACCGATTAGAGATTTGCCCGTTATCTGCCCTCTCAGTGTAGTGTAAAGGAACAGTTTGTACTAAAAAACACTCATAATTCATTTTTACACATCCATTTTCCAGCCTCTCTTTATGTCTTAGAAATAACCAGGACATTTTGGTACTCTGCCTTTAAGACTGATGTATGTAAATGTGCTCTATTCTGATTGGCTGCCCTACATTGTGCCTCATTCAGAAAGCAGTCCAAGCTTAGTTTCCATGTATGGACTGTATGGACTGACTGGTACATTTTGATACTTCAAACAGTTTACATTTTACTTCAAACTCCTTCACTCAAGTGAGAAAACTTCAGTTTTCCATGATATGGGCCCTTTAAACAGATCTTTACAAGACTTTTCAGAAGGCAGTTGTTGTATTTCGGATACCAATAGAGCAGTATCTCTGCGGACTACGCAGGTTTGCATCCAAAATGCTTTTTGTACACTGTGATCCTGTCAATGAATTATATCCATTATAAGTTTGCTGTTGTGATAAGTGTTTTTCTCTGAAATAAAAATCCTGTTTTTAAACATTTTATGATGCAACCTAAAGAACTTAAGATTTCACCAATGGTTAAAGTGTCTGAATACATTTTGGGCCCACTATAGGTTAGAAACAGCAAAAGCAAGTCTATTTGAGGTTATTTAATAAATCAACGCAATTTAAGGCAAAAGTGTACATGCAGTCTTTATTACTTATTAGCTAGATTAGCCATGCAGCTCCACTGCAAAACTAAAGAACCAAACTTCTGACACTAAACATGTCTTTGCTAGTTTTTTCAAAAAACAATCCCTTTAATGTAAACTTTTCACAAATAAAATGGCGATGCAGCAAATTTCCCTTCTTTTCCTTATAAACATTCTGTTTAGTTCACATGATGCGCAGTGATGAGCCTAGATATAAGCCTACATATAAAATGAGACTAATTAGTAGCAAAGCTTTGGATTATCAAATCTTACAATTAATTGCAATCTTTCCTTAAGATGTTTATTAGAGCACAGCACTGTCCCTTTGTGGGTATAATAATGCCAGCCATTATCAGTTAATAGAATATGAAAATTTTCTCTATATTTCTGCCTGCCTGCCACTCTCTCTGAGACACATGATTAGATTTGAGCAAGAGGACTTTGCAGACTGAAAAGACTAATTGCAATTCAAACACATTACTGATATGAAATCTTCTAATAGTTATGTGTATCCCTTTGCACAGTAGCAGTCATTTACCACTTTGGGAAAAATAAAACACTCACCCACACAGACAGAGGGCAGAAGAGACTAATAAGGACAGCTTTTGTAAAGGAGATTATTGATTATAATTATCAGTACCAGGATATAATTGTTAGTATTAAAGGGTTGAAGGGCTCATTTCATGAACAAATTAATTTCCTTAACTTCATTTTTTTGAAATAAAAGAGTTTGATGTAGTATGTCAGCACTGGAAAAAGTTCTTATACACTTCTCAGTTTATCCAATCCAAGTAGAGAAACTAAGCTGCAAAAAAAGCCACTTTTGAACTGTTTGTGATGTCATGAAAAAACAACACATTTACATAGACCAGGGATCGGCAACATGCGGCTCTTTTACTGCCCTGTTGCAGCTCCACAGCAGAATTAGGTAAAAATAAAATAATCCTCCTTTGCAGTAATATAAAGCTCTGCTGATCGTTCAACACATTTTTAACAATAAATGGTCTTTGGAGTTGGAGTTGTATTGGAGTTGTATAACTGCTAATTCACCGTTTAACCCTGAAGACCAACGCGCAGACTGCTGGTCACATATCAATAGTAGCTAACGGAAAGGCAAGGAGAAAGATTTATGATGAACTTTACAATCACTCCAGCTGGTTTCCTGATATGTTTGATCTGCAACAAGAAACTGTCAAACGCAAAAAGTCATGAAGTTGAAGTCAGCTTCTTATTCAAATGCAGAAGAAAAGGTAACCAAAACAAGGTGGCACCCATCCCCTACTTTCCCCCCAGCTCACAATGTCACAATTTTCACAATAGCGGCAAAGCGAAGCAGACTGAAGTGAAGGCCAAGCTAGTCTGGACATGTTCTTCCAGGTCACATCAGAGGGGAGAGAGCCCTGAACATCTCTTGAGATGGTGGCTTGGTGACTCTTTATATAGGAGAATTTTAACAAGAAGCTGGAGAACGAGAATGAATGATAATTTTCCTGTTCCACCTTAAATGGTGCCATTTAATTCGAACAAGAAGCTGGCGAATGAGAGGCTGACTCCAGCCTCATAAAAAGTCAAATGTTGAGACACATTTTACAAGAAACTGTTCTACTTTTGGAAAAGTTTCCTGCCGGAGATGCAAGAAAAGCGGCTATAGCCGAGCTAAAGCTTGAAGCAAAGCAAAGTAAGTCTGTGTTTTTGTTTATATTAAATTCGTTAGCCTATACTAGGACATTAGCACATACTGAGACATATTTAAGCCAAGATAGTAAAATGGACATAAAATGTTGTGGCTCCCAAAGTGGGTTAATTTCTGCTGAAAGGACAAAATGGCTCTTCTTAACATTTGGGTTGCCGACCCCCGACATAGACCCACATAATCAGCCTACAGTATATTAGCCCTGTCCATTTGTGCTTAAGATATAAGAAATGTGTATCAGCCCAGACTGCTTTTTGAATGAGACAAAGTCAGTCAATGTATATCAGTCTTACAGGCACAGTACCAAAGTCAGCCTGATAAATTCTAAAGGATAAAGGTTGGAAAATGGTCATGTAAAAATAAATTATATAAACCTCCACAAATGTCATAAGAAATCCTCAGAGGAAAAATACAAGAAAATATGGATGTAAGGATATGGGCCCTCTAAATCACTGGAGGAAATGATTTAGAAAACAAGCCTATATCACATCTGTGCAGATTTCAGAAGAAATCGGACACTCTAATGTGACCAGATGGCTTCAGATTTGAAGGCAGCTGAGGCTAATTGTGAGTAATGACAATAAGGACAGACATGGTGACTGTGAAGTCTTCTGACATGAGTTTTTATGAAAGGTCAGCTGCCAGAGACGGATTGGATGGTTAATGCTTTTCGTTATCTGGGCTGCTTCCCTTGAAGGCTTAACAATATGTCGCCTCATGTCACCCACAGGGCCTTTGAATCACATGGTTCAATCTGACAAAAGAGTAGAGGTGAATGCTTTTCAACTGCCATCTAGCTGTTAAGAGAGCTGAGAACAGCCTTACAGGGAAAAAAGAAAATGATTATCTTTTTCAGATTAGTATTATCTAAAATGGCTAAATTCAGCCAGCGGTGATGTCATATATGGACCATTTTACCAAATTAGTTCAAACTGCAGCCCCACAGTAAAAAATATTATAAACAACAAAACAAATAAGTATTCAGACCATAGATCCTTACAAGGTTTATGTTATTACTTATTTAAACTTAAGGCATGAATTGAAATAGTAATAGGCTAAATATATACAAAATATATACATATATATTAAATATATAGAAAATCACTTCGTACTTTGTTTTAGGGTGGTTGTCCCAAACCCTAACCCCCAAATTTCAACTTGTGAAAATAATACTTACATTTAAAAACAAAAAAATCCATGTTGTTTTTAAAATGAATTTTTGATTTCTCTTGAACAGGATGATTTAGATTTAGGATGAGTTTAATGTTTAAATAAAAAAAAAAAAAGCTGTCCCACGTTTTAATGTCACTCCCAAGACAGAGTTTTAGTCTGTAGGCGATTTTTGTCTTTGTCAGTTTTTGACATGATTTGAAAATGCCTGTTACTCTTCAAATTGTGTGTAAATTTCATGATGAATGGACCAAAACAAACGGCCCAAAACGACTTGGAAAGTCTGGTTCCATTGACTTACATTTAAAGTGAAGTATATTTTTTCCTTCTCCTGTATAGTTACCATTTTGGACGAGGTTTTGTTCCAAGAACAACAATATATTGCTGGTGCTAACATACTGCACTGGTATTAATGAATCAATTCTAAGACAAAAAGTCCATTAAAAGGTCTGAGCCCTGGACTTTCCATGGTGAAATGCTCTTCAAGGTCCATATGTGGCAAAAAAAACTGAAAGAAGAGAAAATCATTCTTTTCTTCATATTTTTATTATCTAAAATTGTACTTGCATACTGGACTGATACTAATGAATGAATTCCAACAAGTAAATTAAATTGCCCTGGCCTTGCCACAGCGAAGGCAAAATTAGACTACTCTAAACTGGGAGCCCTACACAAAAGATATTTAATCAGTCTTTATTAAAATGAATGGAACTGGAAGCTTGCCCCCAGTGATAAAGCCTACAGTTATAACTCCTATTTGCAGCTTACATAATTATGCGTAATAAATGCAGCAGTTTTCATAAAAATAATGAGTTATAAAAATAGACTAAGTAATGAATGCAACCGTGAATGTTTTCATACAAATTTGAAAACTATATTCTCTCGTGCGTGCATGCTCACCCTGGGTGCTGAAGGTGGTGTCGATTGCAGAGCCGTCCCAGGACTCTACAGCACTGTCCACGCTGGGGATGGTGGCGGAGTAAATGTCCGACAGTTTGCCTGTTTTCTGACTACTTTGATTCTCATCTTCCACATCACTCAGCTCCCCCAGACGCCCGGACACTGATGGCTGCTTAGGACTCACCACTGTGCGCGCACACACACACACACACACACACAAACACACACACAGGGTTCTGAGCTTAATTCATTATTACAAACATTAAATCATAAAAGGAATGTTTTTGTCTCTCAGAGCTGCAAATCAGTGTTAGTTAACTTTATCCAGTGACTTATGGACACTTAAACACTACAGAATCTGTTTCAAAGATGTTAATTACATGTATACATAAACAAGTGTTACATGTATGTTTGTTTTTGTACATTTCTAGGACAAAGCAGCAAAAAACAAGAAAAAAACTACCAAAATCATTTCTATTTGGTTAATGAGTACTGTATATAATACATTCTCAATACAAGTATCACCCCACTTACTGACAAGGTATAAACAAATATGTCTGTGTGTCTGTGGGACAGCCAGACCCTAGCACGTGCTGACTGTGTGAATGCTCTGGTACTCACGCTCTCCCTGCTTCTTGATCTTGAGTGTGACGGACTCTCCAGCCATCTGGAGCAGGTGGATGGCCTCGCTCAGGGGTTTGCCCTTCAGACTGTTATTGTTGATGGCCAGGATGCGGTCTCCAACGTGGATCGCACCCGTCCTGTCCACAGCACACAGCCCCGTCAACATTCATACATTTCACACAGTGAAACCCTTCAGAGCACCAGTGCTAGACTTTCATCATAATCCCTGCACAGCACATCCTCCTAAAGATGGCAGCTGTCCAAGTATTATCTGAGACGCATAGCGCCTGTCAAACGCTTAGACATCAAAACTATTGAATAGACAGTGGGGAACCCTCAGGGCCTTCCTGGTCTTCAAAGAAGGCCTAATGATTTCTGGGAACTAAAAATAGATGTCTATAATTTTTAGTTCATTTTCATTTTAATAAAATAATGATGCATATAAAAATAAAGTCTTGGTTGGAAACAAAGGTTAAGATCTTGAAACACCCAAGGGCAAATTGTCCAATCAGGAGTTTTTTCTGCTGTGGTATATAGGTAGATAAAGCTAAGCAAGTTTCCCATTGGTGAGGACTTCAGGAGCTGAACAGAAGACCTTTCATGTCAGATTGTCAACATAATTTTTAGTTTAAATACATTTATATCCTAAGCAACTATTTATATTTGTATATGCATAAGCCTTTACATCAAAATGTCTTTGAAAATATTAAAAACTTACATTAATTTAGGCAAAATCCAAATTTTTGACTTGTACTGCACACACGCTACATATTTGGGTCAAAATAAAACTTTTTTTTCAAATATTAAAATAAAAACAGCTTTTATAGTCTATATTCACTACTATGTAAACAATCTACTTGAACTGAATCATAGTAAATCTTTATATTATGATGCATTGAATAGTTTCCTAAAGAACTGTAACTGAATCAATCATTGTGAGATGAGACCCCTTCTGGAGATCACTGACGGTGATCTCAATGGTTAAAACTCTTGCCCTCTGGGTTTGCATTTTGGGGCGCTAGGCAGCTGTACCTCTCGGCCAGGCCGCCCTTAGTGAGGCTGGAGATGATGATGGGGTCGAAGGGCTCCTCGGTGCCAGAGATGGTGATGCCCAGAGGGCCGCCGTAGCGCTTCAGCTCCACCGTGTAGATGATGGCCCCAGAGCTCTCCTGCTCGTCTGCAACACAGGCCAACAGCACACGGGCGTCCATATCAACACGGTCTGCACGCAGGACACCTCGCAGAGGGGCAGAGAGCAGAACGGAGACAGCCCTCACAACACCGGACAGAGAGAGAGAGCAAAGTGGGGTACAGGGAGGAGGAGGAGGTCGGGCTTGATGGTAAGGATGCTCTAATCAGGCTTTTTAAATACAATACCAGCTTTTTCTAGGCTTGTGAATGTAGGCAACTTGCAAGTCATAAACATTTTTAAAACACAAATAAGCAGTTATAACAGCAGTGACATGTTATATCTGATGAACATGAACATCTGATGAAGCTGGCAGGTATAATGCTGACTGATAGAGATGACATAGTAATATGGGTAACCAGCAAGATTTGAGATTTCACAGTACAGATGAAAATGACCACACCATTTGGCAAGAAACAGGTTACTGTTGCCCTTTTTTTAAAGGGGGTTAGAACCGCTTATTTATGTTTTTTAAGTGTTAATGAACTAATTGCCACTGTCACCATTGGCTTGCTCATGGGGCCCTGGACCCAGATTGTTCTGTAAAGCTGCTTTGCAACAACTCCTGTTGTAAAAAGCGCTAAATAACTAAACTTGACTTTGACTAATTAATAACTATCAATAAACAAATTTTAACCATTCATAAATCCTTTATAAAGGTAGTCTTATCGTAAAGTGATACTGAAGAGAGGCTGCAGAGTGAATGATTTAAAAAAAAAAAAAATGCCGATTTCAGAAAATCAGCAGCCAACTAGAGCATCCCTAATTGATGGTGAGGAAAATGATGAAAGGGGCAGGATCCAAAAAGTAATAAAGGTAAGAACAGAGCAAAAAAATAAAATAAAGGGATAAAAAACTAAGAAAAAAACGAGAAGGAGAAAGGGTTACAATTGAGATCAAAAAAAAGAAACTGAGAAGAAAATGAAAGGAAGGGATTAAGAATGAGAATCTGAGGGAAAAAATGAAAGTAACGGATTTGGAAAATATGACATAGGGAAAGGGAGGTTCAGGAAAAATCCTCATTGGAAAAATACAGAGCAAAAACACAAGCTTGCGGAAAATGAAGGCACAGTTCCCAGAAGACGTACTGTGGGGGAATACAGCTCTAGCGCTCTATTACAAAGCATGCCTTTCACTAGGTTCAAAAGAGCCGCAATGTGCCTAACACCACAGACCTGACAGAGGAGAGGGAAAAAAGCTGAGGGGATAAGGTGGAACGCAGTCGACTGGAGGAATAATTATGTATCCTGACAGAGAGCAGACATGGGGAAAAAGGAAATGCGTGTACAGGCCAGCATGTTCAACTAAACACTAGTATGCAGACATGACAGCCACTTTCATGCAGACCCAGAAACGTCAGCAGCGGGCACAGTCATTTCTGCACACTGAAACTCCGCGGGGTTCCGCATGACGAGCCGAATCAAAACCCATCAGACAAGGGCTGGGGCATGTTTCTTTGGATCTACACTGTCAAAGGTTTGGGGATATCTAGCTTATCGCTGTTAATACAAATTAACATTTTCTTTTTTGTTTTTTTGAAGAAAACAATATAAGATCTATGTGAGACAGTATTTGTGCCTACATTAGGAATGATGCTAAAGCCCACACATTTATTCCCTTTGTTGTGATGTGACCACAGCTTTAAGGTTTTTAATGCAACTTTAGGCCAAAAGATCTTCAATGGTTTTATCTGATGAATAAGTACATCTAATTTGCTTTTAACAATTGTTTGGAAAACTTAACAATCATAATGTAATTGTCAGCACATAACTCTTAATAAAAACCGTCACAGGTATTTTTTCGTACTTATAAAATAAAGGTGCCAAATAGTTTCTTTGGTGCAATGCCATATAAGAACCGCTTTCAGTTCTTTAAAGGACTAGGAGTCTTTCAACTTAACCTGTTGTATGTGTGGTGTGTGGACACATACTATACACAATAACACAGACCCTTTTTTCCTGTACTTAGTAAATAAAACAAAAATAAAATACAAAAATAACAAAAATAAAATAAAAAAAATGTTGATTCAAATCATACTCAGTCTTTTCCTGGCGATACCACAGGCATCCATGACCAAGAGTCCACGAGAGCATAGTTGGACCCTCTGCATGAGTAGGATGTTCCTTCCTCTCCCCATCACTGAGCATGATGCCTGCCAATGCAGTCATCTGATATAAAAGAATTGACCTTTAGTGTTCTCCTCCAAGCATGCTGAGCTGTCCAACTGCGTTATCATCACTTCGAAAAGTGTGTCTCAGAGGAAGTGCATGCTAGCCTTCACCCTCCTTGCCAGCATCATGTGATAGGAGGAAACCTAGTCAGCGAGTGGGAACTGACCACGACTAATTGAGAAAACAAATTGTTATATAAAAAATGTCTGCAGTAATCACTGAAAAACTCTGGAGTATTCAGCTTCATGCACTGAAAAGTTCTTTAAAAAACCAAAAGTGTTTTTTTCTATAGCACTGCACCAAAAAACTCTTTTGGGAGGTTTGTTTTAGAGAGTGTAACTGAAAAATGACAGATAAAATCAAACATTACTCAGAGGGCAATGTGTCCTCAAATGTTTGATAGCCAGTGTATGCACTTTCAAATACATTCAATATCGCATGATATTTCAATTAGAAGTTACACTGAAAACATATCCTCCAAAGCAGCTGGCTAACAGTCAAGGCTATTTAGGACTATAAATAATTCCGAGTCCTCAGCTTTCGGGTAAAAGTCAGAAACTCTGGAACTCCATACGCGCTGGGATTAGAGAGAAGAGCAGACTTTTCTCCACAGGAGCTCATAACCACACAAAACACACTCTGTCGATTGCAAAGGTCAATAGCCAACCTGTGAATTTTGTACTCATCTAGATAGAACAGGAAGGACAAGGAGAGAGAGAGAGACAGAGAGAGAGAGAGAGAGATAGAGTGTGCGAGAGCAGGCTTGTAGATCACCCCACGGGTCAGTCATCTCATCGTCCAGCCTCCCACCCATACTAATGAGGCAGGGAAATCTCACAGCACCTTCAGACTCCAGCTCTGCTGCTCAGCTCAGAAAAACTGAAGCAGGCAAAGTGTGTTTTCAACCAATAATAATGAGAAGAACATACTCATTGACTGTGTTAGAAGAGTCTGGCTTGTCAGTAATATCATTCTGTGGAGGTGGAGGGAAAACCTACATTCTTAAAAATGAAGAGTAAAAAAGGATTGTTTGGATCGATACCATGAGAATCTTTCAACAGATGGTTCTCTAAAGGGCTCATATCCTTTATTTTTCTTGTATTTTATTTCCCCCCCTGAGATCCACTCATGAAGTTTGTGTGATTTTATGCATCAAAAACAGCCATGATCCATTTTTACATTTTTTCTTTATCCGTTAGTATTAAACAGACCGTTTTTTGTTATTTTGCCTTTAATACTGATATATGTAAATAAGTTCTGATTGGCTGCTTACTTTTATTTTAAAAAGTGAGGAAAAGTAGTTCTTTATGATGTTGGCACTTTAAAGAACCGTTTTTGGAAATGAGGCTTACAAGTGTGAAGAACCTTTCTATTCTAATTCTAGGTTTATAAAGAACCGTACATCTAAGCCAAGACCCACTTAGTAATCACTTGCTCACCTTCTCTTATTTATTTTTGTCACTTATGTTAATCTTTGATAAATATTTTCCAAACTACAAGAAAATACACAAAGCAACTTTTTTGTCTTTCCTTCGAGTCAAGCAAGGACCTCTCTGAAGATGATCTATATAAGCATGGATTGATGCCGGATTTGACAGTACAGTGAAAATGCCTCGCAGTGCCCTCATCCCATGCAGATCAAAACACATTCAGCAACTTCAGCACATGACGGCATTCACATATTTTGGGAATGGTACAAAACAGTAGAAGATTCAGATTAACTCAGATTAATTAATAAGTAGTTTCCTATATTATTCAAAAGAAATTACAAAATTATACACTTAATTATATAGTTAGTTACACAATGAATCACATTAACATTTCATTTACATTCTGTTTCAACAGTTTTGAGTCTGCACCTCTGACATTTGCCTGTTTGTTTTGATGTCATGAAGTGAAAAATTCATGGCAAAAATGTACTATACGCACATCAATAACGTAAAACATACAATAACAACAGAGGTATCTACTGAATGTTTAGAGTCCACATTTCTGAGAGAATTTCTCAGTTTGTTTAATTTAATTTACAGCTGAAAACTGTGAATTTTAGTGCTGATATTACACCAGAAGCGATGCACAGTAAGCCCAAAATGCGTTGTGACACAACACTACTTCTCACCAGCTGCGTCTAAGACATGCTGTGCTGATGAAGCGATAAGTGTTTTCTGTTTGCATTTGTTTTTTTTCCAGTAATGGATAATATCACCTGCAAACATCTTTTTTTCTGTTTACAAATCTAATAAACTTTATATAGACATCTAAGAACAGCTCTTAACTAACTATTAGCTAGTAGAAAGGGGCTCTGATTGGCTGATCCTTTAGTTACACTAGAACTTTTTCGAAGTTTGTACTTGTACAATGCTGCTGCTACATTTGACAATATTCGCAAGAATAATGAATGTGTACTGTTCTGGACAGTAGCAATGCTCGTCAAGCATCAAAAAATAGATAGAATATTTTTGCACTTCAAGTATGCGATACTTTCGTGTTACAGTGAATAAACCAAAAGTGTACTGTTTGTAGTGCGTCAAGCAATGCGCTTCGCACATCTGGTGTAAAACGAGCTTAACGGTTAACAAGCTCTCATTTTAACTCTAATACGCATCATTACTTTTCTTAATCCAGACTCATGCAATCTAAACCTTTATTAATAAGCGCTGAAGTCATCTGATTGATTATATGGCCTGTACGTAAACGGCAGGAACGGAGATAAGAATAGAACCCTACTGTGAGCTGCGAGCTCATTGTACCTCCATTCCCAGCCAGAAAGAAAGCACTCGGGGGAGTTCTAATTGGCTAATTGAAGCAAGTGAGTGTTTAATTGGACTGATTAAACTCATTTTCCTCTGTGTGCACAATAGTAACAGTATTAGGGATTAGGGAAGAAAGAAAGGAGGTTTGGAACTTGCTGCACTGCAGCAGATACAGTGTGAGCAGGGGGCCAAGGCAAGGCCAAGAACACTGCAAGAGCTCTGGAGGAATGGACAGTAGCTAGCCCTGTAAACACACACCACTGGGCGGCTGCCTCAATGCCTACATTTGCAGCAAGCTGGAAGAAACAGCTATCAAAATAACACTTTTTGAAACTGCTGCTCTCCTTCAAGAAGTTTTTCATTCCATTTTTTTTAATAGCAGTGTTGGTATTTCTCAAAGTCTAAAGTAGAAAAGCATTTGTAAACCAGAACTGAAAATAACCCCATAACATGGGAGCATTATGCTTATATAATATCACTATCATGATAAATTATGCCACAATATACTTTACTGAGTATACTGTCGTTACAGAACACGGACCAACTGTATGTATCATAAAAATACCAATTATAGAGAGTGTAAACAAGTCAACACCTTATGCCATCTAATCTTAGTTTATTAATTTATTAGGTAAAACTTTACTGAAGGGTGGTGTTCATAAGGCTACATCACACCTACATAAGCCTTTTATGACAACTGACATAAGACTACAGAGATGTTCATAAAGGCTTAATTGAACAGATGTCATAACATTTGCTGAGATGAAATTACACCAAAACAGACAAGAGCAGGCTTTATAACAACTGACACTTGTGAGCATAAGCCTCTATAAATGTTTATGTTGGTTTATTTCAGCTGTAATGAAGGGCTCATGTATGCGTCATGCAGCCTTACATTTGCTACCCTTCAGTAAAGTGTTACCATTTCTTTTAGCTTATTATCTGATTTTTTTTTTTTTAAATAGTTATTTGGTAAAGACAATTTCAAACACGTTGTACTCAGTTTTTCATAATATTTTAAATACAGCATTCCTGATTTTTCTAGTGTATTGTGTCTAATCCAACCTCAGACAAATTGAGATATTATAACGCATTTCATATTTTGTAAAAACTCACCGAGGTATTACTACGTTATACAATATTTCTGTTGTACTGCCCACCCTTAAATCACACTTCATGTTTTCGTCTTTGCAAGCCTCAGCTTTTTGAGGACAGGCTGTCACCTCTAACCCAAGAGGGGACTGTCTATTGGGTGTGTGCGCATGTGTTGAGAGACCCAGGGGTACCTGAGTTGTCCTCATCCTTGCGGATCTTGAGCTTGACCAGTTCCTCACATTGCTGTAGGATCTGGACAGCATCCTCCATGGAGCAGTTGTCTAGGCGGATGTTGTCGATGGCCAAGAGCTTATCCCCCAGCTCCAGTGTACCCGTCCTGGGCAAAACAACATGTACCACACAGATAATGAGACACACAACAGGGCTCTTCATGTTTTAAATTCACACATGCTTGCCAACTGGATACTTTGTAACAGTTTGGCTTCTACAGTTTGCACATTCTGCAATTCACTCTGGATAAGAGCATCTGCTTAACAAATAAATATACAATACTGTGTGAAAGCCAGAAATGTCCAGTCAAAACAGCCATTAAGTACAACTTATTTTTCAGGAGATATTTCTGAGGCGATTAGATCTAAGATATTCAACTTGCACAAGAGGTTCCAAAACTGTAGTTCAAAAAATTATTAAAAGATACAGAGAAAATGTGACTCTAAACAAGACCTGGTAGACCACCAAAACTGTCCCCATCAGATATACAATCAAGATCCACTCTGTCCATCCTTCCACTGTGAGAAGACAACTCTACACTATGGGTCTGAAAGGAAGTGTAGCTGTCAAGAAGCTCTTACTGAGAAAAAGAAATAGACAAAAAAGTACTAGAACAAAGAAACTGGATCTGATCTTTATGGACAGATGAGTCTAAATTTGTTATCGGGATTATTTAGATCATGAGAAGCAGAAAATGTAACCAACTTCTAAGACTGAACTTTGGAGGTGTGGAAAAATATCCCTGCAGATTTCTCTGAAAAACTGTAAGCAAAACTCTTGGAAAAAAATGGACGCTGTGATAAAGGAAAGGGTGGACACACTAAATACTGAAAAATCTGATATTACCTTTATTAATGAGGCTTCTGTGTAATTTTTTGTTGAAGTGTTTTGTTCCAAAAAATATCAAAGTCCACCTTCAAGAATCTTTCTTTTTTTCATGATTTTTGTTGGAGTGGGGCTACAAACAAGAAACATTAGTGCTATATTATGATAAACACCACCTATATTAGAGAAATAAAAATGTGTTTTCCATTACATGCCAACTGTTATTCCTTTCAAAAACTTATCCAAAATGTTACAAATGGATACACAGCATTTTGGAATGAAACCCTTTCAATGTATTCTGCTTCTTTGCTGACAGTGAATAAATTAGTTAGTACTTAAAGGTTGTTTTGACTGGAATCTAAATAAATGAAAGAGAGAAAATATCTTTGACTTGCTTAGTACTGTGAAAAATAAGAATGTAGCAGTTCTGTGCCTGATTCTCTCATACCATTCACACTCACATACTACATAAACTACCAATCATCTTTACATTTTAGGGAAGATTCCTTTGTGCATCTTCTCTCTGCCACACACACACACACAATTTTTGTCTGAACAGGTGATCAGCCAGAGAACACATCCATTATTCAGAGGATTGGCCACAGCGTGCAGGCTGGAGCAGTCCACAGCACAGAGGCAGATTTCAGAGCACAATAAGTCAATGAATTCCCTTTATTACCAGCCAGGTAAGTGCTGCTGCCCTGCGTTCACATCATGCCACATTTTAATTTGAAATCCTGGTCGCTTTCAGACAGATGCTAATGTTCTCTCAATTGGTCTATCAAACAGCATGATAGCATGATTTGAATCATGCAGAAACGAGGTGCGTAGTTGTCGGAGGCAACGCCAAATGGCCACATAATCACAGCGCTGGGGTTTCTGTCACATTAAATAACCATGCTTTTTGCACATGAGAACCTAACCCAGTTTCCTCTTGTTCGCACATCATTATCAGGCAAACACATGTGGCATTACATAACAGCCTAGCAAATTAGAGCATCTCTGCTGAATGTGGAGCAATTAGCAAGGATTCACAAGTGCCCCACACAGTTAGCAGGGGGGAGCTCATCACAAAGGTAAACCTCCTCCACATTCAGCCCAGCTCCTCTGCTTGCTCTCCGTTACCACCGACTTGCACCACGGGTCTTTAATCAACATTTGCATGTTGAATAAACCTTCTGGATTGGTGAATGAGTGCCTGGATGTAACCAACAGCTCTGTGCTCCGTTTTCCAGTTTAGCGCATTTAATTAAATCACTTGGCTAAACTCTATGCCATGCGCTCCCGGTCTCTGGTATGCTCCAGCAGTGCACACTCACACTACAAATCAGTACAGCCCTGTCTGGGGCCAAAAAGAGAGCGTCGCTATAGGTCAGTGCATATGTGTCCACAAGGACGTAACCCATTTCATTTATGGAGGCATAAATGAAATGGGGCTAGCATATATGCTAATAACTACCTAGTTAGCTACATGACCTTAGTAAAGTCTACACAAAGTGATAAATCCATGAACAACACAATAATGGTGTTTGTACTGCTACTACTAATATTTAATATACTTCCAGTGCATATATCCACTTCAAAGTTTTCCTAGATATCACACCTGGTGTCATTAAAAAACACTTCATGGTGAAAATTAAGGAGCTTCCTAAAGTTTTCAGGTATGACCAATTGCATGCAAGTGGAAAGATCATGGAGCCATAACTTGTCATATCCAGACAGGCAAGATTTCACAACGCGCTCTCAGACTAATGATATTCACAGTGAAGCATGGAGGCGGGAGCATCATGATGTGCGGCTGCATCTCTGCAAATAGTACTGGGGCATTACACATCATTGAAGGAAACATGAACAGAGCGATGTGTTGGGACATACTAGAGAACTTAATCTCATAAGATGCTCAATCTGGCAAGAAGATGGATGTTTCAAGACAACGACTCCAAACATACATCCAAAATAACTCAAGACTGGTTTCTAAGGAAGAAGGTGAAGGTGCTTGCATGGCCTAGCCAATCCCCTGACTTGAATCTCAATTAAAATTCATCAAGGTAGTAACCTCCATAAATTTGAAATTGCAAGTAATCTTGGGGAATTTAATATGGTCTTACTGTAGACGTTTCAAAGCTGTAATTGTGTGGAATCTGAATATTTGTTTCCTTATCAGTTTGATTTGTTAAACACATCTTTGTTTATGCTTATGAATACAGTCTTTTTTGTTATAAGAACAGAGTCAAAAGACATTATGTGTGTAAACTTTAAATGGATATATTCACTGGATAATAATTAACAAAAAGAGAAGCGTATGAATACTTGTTTCCCCTCATGTATTCACCTAGCCAATTAACACCACATTAGCAAACACTTCACACAGCGATAATGTCTTTCTTCACCTGGAAGAGTAAATTAGATAAATTAAACTAAATTGTGTTTCTGTAAGTCTGGTGGTTTCTAAAAAATGTCAGCTTTAACTGCAAGTGTTAGGTCTACCAAAAACAGAGGAGAACGTCCAACTGAACGCAGACTGAACACAAATGTAAACAAACATTATTCAATGTTGCCCTCTAAAGGTGCTACTGCACCCATCATGAAATTAGATATTTTACTGGTTTAAAGACTCACAATGTGTATCTGTGAATGCATTTTCTGTGGGGTATTCTACAAATCAGGAATTGATTTCTCAGTTACACTATATTGCCAAAAGTATTCACTCACCCATCCAAATCATTAAATTCAGGTGTTCCAATCACTTCCATGGCCACAGGTGTATAAAACCAAGCACCTAGGCATGCAGACTGCTTCTACAAACATTTGTGAAAGAATGGGTCACTCTCAGGAGCTCAGTGAAAGTGATAGGATGCCACCTGTGCAACAAGTCTAGTCGTGAAATTTCCTCGCTACTAAATATTCCACAGTCAACTGTCAGTGGTATTATAACAAAGTGGAAGCGATTGGGAACAACAGCAACTCAGCCACAAAGTGGTCGGCCACGTAAAATGACAGAGCGGGGTCAGCGGATGCTGAGGCGCATAGTGCGCAGAGGTCACCAACTTTCTGCAGATTCAATCGCTATAGACCTCCAAACTTCATGTGACCTTCAGATTATCTCAAGAACAGCGTAGAGAGCTTCATGGAATGGGTTTCCATGGCCGAGCAGCTGCATCCAAGCCTTACATCACCAAGCGCAATGCAAAGCGTCGAATGCAGTGGTGTAAAGCGCCGCCACTGGACTCTAGAGCAGTGGAGACGTGTTCTCTGGAGTGATGAATCACGCTTCTCTGTCTGGCAATCCGACGGACGAGGCTGGGTTTGGCGTTTGCCAGGAGAATGGTTCTTGTCTGACTGCATTGTGCCAAGTGTAAAGTTTTGTGGAGGGGGGATTATGGTGTGGGGTTGTTTTTCAGGAGTTGGGCTCGCATGCTCCCAACTTTGTGGGAACAGTTTGGGGATGGTCCCTTCCTGTTCCAATATGACTGAGCACCAGTGCACGAAGCAAGGTCCATGAAGACATGGATGAGCGATTTTGGTGTGGAAGAACTTGACTGTCCTGACCTCAACCTGATAGAACACCTTTGGGATGTATTGGAGCGGAGACTGCGAGCCAGGCCTTCTCGTCCAACACCAGTGTCTGACCTCACAAATGCGCTTCTGGAAGAATGGTCAAAAATTCCCATAAACACACTCCTAAACCTTGTGGAAAGCCTTCCCATAAGATCTGAAGCTGTTATAGCTGCAAAGGGTGGGCCGACAATATATTAAACCCTATAGATTAAGAATGGGATCTCACTCAAGTTCATATGCGTGTGAAGGCAGATGAGCGAATACTTTTGGGAATATAGTGTATGTCAAGCACTCTCCAACAGGATGAGAGCTAAGGAACACTCTTATTGGACAACCATCAACTATTAGCTCATTTGGTTAACTGAGAAACCCCACATTATGATATATCTTTTTGTAATCTCTCAACATTTCTATGTTATCTTTATGTGGGTGGGGGGTTGCTTCTTTTCAATGCTAAGGGGAACTTGTCCCTCACTCCTCCTGTTAGATTAGACCCCTGCATGTAAACAAACACGACCACTGAACAATACTACAACTATATTTACCTGCGGTAAAAATGACCTGTCCCCAAGTGAGGGCGATAACACAGGACCGGTGGAAAAATGAGGACTGTGGTACACTGTTGTAAATCACACATGCTGTCATGCAGGAAGGTGCAGTGACTGGATTACTGCCGGCAGCAGCGTAGGATGTGGGTTTTTTTAAAGAAAGGCTTTGTGGGGGGGCTGCACAGCAGACAAGACACTGGAGTCTAACGGGTTTAAGGACGACAGGTGTGAGCTCTAATGTGAACAGGGACTGTAATGTGCTGTAATGTATTTCAAACATAATAGAAAGTTTATTTGTATGGACATTTTGGGGTCGCACAGTGAGCAGCACAGTGTGGGTCCAAGGTAATATGGCAAAATGTGGGTCATTTATGTAATAACACAGATTTACTAAAATCTCAGTGTGGCAGAAATGAAGACTGCATCGTTTAACTAAAGGGTGACTTTTATTCCCAAATTTCTCCATAAAGCAATAAAGCTGATCAAGTGTGTTACCTGTGTGCCACACTGCCCTTCTTAATGTCTGAGATGATGAGAGCATCCCCTGGCTTCCTGTTGGATGGAGCTGAGACAGAGAGAGACAAAAACAAAAGAACCATGAACAAATCAAGCAAGAACAACATTATATTGCACTTTCTACAATATGTGTAAATGCTAGGACTAGACTTACTAACATTTTGCACCATAACAAACTCCACATTGGTGTTAAAAAGTGGCTGTCATGATGTACTAAACAGGCTAAATGGCACTTCAATGGCTATAAAAGGGATCAAAGTGGTGGTCACTGCTCGTTTGTGTTTTTGCACAAAATATTGTAAAGAGATTTTTATAATGAACCACAGGACTCAGTATTACTGAATACTGACTGTGAGCAATTTAATACCTGTGAAAAGCCTTAAAGTCTTATGTTTGGTGCTAGCATGTCATTTTTTCGGGATCAAAGAAAAAAGACAGTTTTTCAAACACATTTATTTTGGGACCCTTTAACAGCACAATCAAATATCAGGTTTTGTATAAATAATGACCTGACATTTTTCGTTTTCTGTCAGCTGTTAAAAGTACATATTGGAAATCTTTTGCTCTGCAATCCCTGCTTTAGAAAAGCTACTCCTTGCTTCATTGTTCCTGCGCACTGTGTGCGTGGCAGAAATGTCCAGCCATTGTTTGATGTACTGCATGTAGCTTAGAGTTTACACCCAAAATCACACAATTTCTCACTCAGTGAATTAAAGGGAGATTTTACAATATCACAGTTTCTAAACACAGTGGGCACAAAACTCAAGTTCAGCTCATCAGAACTCAAGTTCAGCTCTTGTTGAAATAATCATATACTTACATAAAATAATTTTTTGGAATTTCTGACTAAGTCAAAATAAGCCAAATGAGTCACAGAGTCACTGTTTGAACTTGAAACAAAGAAAGATTAAAAAAAACATTTCCCCTATCTGGAAAAAGTCTTTCATTCCAAAAGCATGTCAGCTAAACATGTGGTTATTTTGCGCTGATCATATGCTTATTATGAAGTTGTGCCTGTGTTCATTTGCACTGAAGCTCTTAGCAGATAAGCTGCTTAATTGGCCACCCCCAGCAGAATAAAGTGGCAGCAGACTATTGGTAATTAGTGCCTCTTCTAGTAAATCTGTTCCTTTATCACAGGGTGCTGCTGTGTGACAAATCCTTTTTGAACTTTTCAGATTCATGTTTCATTTTCATTGTTACTTTAGAAAATATCTGCAAATGTTCTTTAGCACCAACAGCTATTTACTGACACATCCATGTTCATGAAAGTGTCTTCATTGGTATGAAGAGCAGGTTTTGCTTAACAATAATGATATGACTGCCTCAAAACTCTTAAAACTAAAATGTGATTTAAACAGCTAAATGTGATTCAAGCATCTTTAAAGGATTGATTTCAGCATGTTCTGCACTCTGGCAAACTCTCTCAATCTCTATATTCTTAAATACTCCTTTCAGTCTGTACTTTCTCTGTTCAGTCTGTTCTCTCTACACTGATTTCCATCCTTCTCAGTGCTTTACACTGTCTTGTTCTCACTGCTCTCATTGCCTTTTCCTACACTGTGCTGGTTTAGGAGCCAAATAGCTAAAAGAGATTAATGGGAGAATTTTACTGAATTAAGTCTACATGCAACATGATTCCACACTTATTGATATCAATCCTATAGCCCTAAAAACAGTGATCAGTTTTAGTGTCTGCTTCTCTACACCACACCAGCAGTACACCACATTAATAGTAATCTATCATTTATAGCTTAATACTTGTACTAATACACATACATCATTCATTAAATATTCTGGCCTAAATACATTGACAACTGTCCCATACTAAAGCGATCATATGTTAGCTCAAAGTGTGATAATGCATTACCATGATAAACCACAATGGCTTTGAAAAGTCTCACTTTACCTGAAAACTATCTGACGTTCAGTACTAAATAATGCTTCATATGAACTAAACAATCTTCTAAAATAATTAAATATAAATGTGTAAAAATGTAATATTTTCATTTGATAATTAATCTTTTAAAAGACATGAGTTGTTTTCTTGTTTGATTTACTTTCTTTTACATCTGTATGTATATATAAGAAAGGTATTCTAATTTGTTGGTCCACTCATGTACTTGGTGGAATCATTCTAATTCCAGATTTTTAAGACTACACTGATAATGTCAGGCCAATGAAAACAAATGCTGGACGGAAAGCACTTCTGTGTAAATTATTTCTGATAGTTACTTTCAGTTGGCTGAGGTCACAGAAAGGCAAATACAATATGATGCTTATTTGTCCCCCTTTACCTGACGGACCACTTTTGCTGAATTCACAATACTGGTTAGTTTTTAAGGTCCTGTTTACTTGGCATTATAATGGACCCCAGATCTGGATGCTGGCATGGAATGTGTTCAGATCTGTTTGTCCTGATCTTGATGTAGTGGGCACAAATGTAGTGGGCACAAATTACAATTGAACTGGTTGTACTTTAAACACAATGCAGCCAACCTGTTCACATTTACAGTCACAGATGCACCACCTACAACTTAATATTGTGATAGAAGCTATTTTTAGGCAGCTGCATACCATACGTATGTCCATTTTTTTCATTTTTTTTTCTGACCTTTATTTTGTGTCAAAAATGGCCCGAAATAATATGGAACAAAATCTCATTACGTTTTTGCCTATTTCTGTAAAGTTACCACTTGGAGATGTTTTTTGGTTGATTTTTTTAATCCGAGGGAAAGTCGTCTAATACAGCAGCACAGCCAAGTAAACAGTAAAGAGCAAAACAAGAGCAAAAGTATTGCCCTATGCTATTCTACAGATACATAAATAGAAAAAGAAGTAAAGATATATTATAAAATATACTAAAACAACCATAAAATATCATGCGCAGTACGTTAGTAAGTTAAATCGCATAAATATTATGCAGGTGACAATGCAGTGGTGCATGTCACGTTCAGGGAATGAACCAACTGTACACTGTAAACAATAATATATGTTAATAGTTGTGCAATATGCCTGGGTGTATGAACAAGTGGCAGTGCAATATGCAGTATGTATGGATGTGTAAACAAATTGGCAGTGCACAGTAATAAACAGAGAGGTATAATGTCCAGTTGGTGCTCAGTGAGCCTGTCCCATCAGTAGCTCAGCATACAATAATGTCCCGACACAGTGAGGAGGTGTTTTACAGTGCGATCTGTGCTGGTACAAACGATCTCCTGCACCGTTCCTTACTACAGCAGAGCTAAATGAGTCTGTCGGTGAAGGTGCTCTGCAGTCTGACCAGTAGGTCATGGAGGGGATGTGACTTACTATCCAGGATAGCAATGAGTTTATTATGATGAATGCTATTATGGCAGGTATTTGATAAGGGTAGAATAAAATTAACACAACAGTAGTCTGAGCTCAGCTTGGCTCCAGCCTTTTTCTTAAAGACAGTGAAACACAGAACTGAGCTAAGCAAATGTGCAGAATTCAACGACTTCTCTTTCTCTGTCACTTCAGATGCTTTGGATGCTCTGGTTTAAAAAACAAACCCAGTATAGTCTTTACATGCGTATGTTACACCAAGCCATATATTAAAATACAACTGAAATATTATGTGGAGAAAAGAGGTCTGATCAGTACACGCAGTAGCCACATTTGAAAAGGGTAGGTGTAAATGTGCTTGAGTGGAGCGTCTAAAGCACTATACATATTAAAAGATTAAAAAAACTAACATACTCATTTGTTTTAACATTTTGAAAAGGCAGGTGTCCCCAAACGAGCAGTGTGGTTAGTCGCTAGACCTACTGCTAAAAGACAGAGTCAGGAGGAGCCTGATCAGACGTATTCCCATGACGCACGCTGGGTCCTTCACTCAGGGGGAGCTCCATGGAGAAATGGTGAGTCATTTTTCACTGATTGAGCCACAGACGGGGAGGAAAGAGATCGCTGTGCTGCTTCTGTTCAGTAAACAAACCCAAGCGCCCCAGCTGCTGCCACTTTCCATCAAGAGACAGGCCTACAAAAGGGGTCACATGAGGTCTCCCACCGGTGCCTGCTGAGTGCTGATGGTATGAGAGAGGGCTGGTTTGCCTTTTGCTTACCCTGCAAGCTCTGTGTATTTGGCCTGAGCATGCTGGGCACTGGACTGAAGGAATGAAGTTTTTTTTCCTTAATTTAAAGATTAAGCGACTATGCCTCGACTTTATGCCTTGTGGAAGAGCTGCAATAAAATTCCATGTTGGAAGAGCTCCTGAGGATACCTCCCTGGAGAATATCTGTATCTGGAAGATGGCTGGTGGGGGAATGAGCAAGGATAAGCCTCGGGTCTCTTGGCTAATGAATCTAGCTTGTCCCTTAAGGAAGCTAACATGAAGGAACTGCTGAAGAATCATTACTGGAACTGCTGCGCCATGCAAATTTAGTTTAGGGACAAGTGAGATAACTGAAACAAACCCCTTAATATCACAGTATGTGGTAAAGAAAGCCAGTGGCATTGAAAGTTAGTTGTTGGGCCAGAGAAAGCAGAGCACAGAGGGATTCAATTGAAAAAGGTTGATGATTCAATCTAGATGCGGGAGATTAGAGTGCCCAAGCCAAAGAGAGCAAGGGGAAGAAATTGCCTCAGGGTTTGTCAATCAGAGACAGCTAGGTTCCAACAAGCATGACTCTCCAAGAACAAATTGTCAAAGTGAGAGAAGCACAAGTTCTGAATGACTGTCCATATAACTGACGATTCAATCTCCGAACGTTTGCAGGGCGACTCTGACTGAGGAAATAATCACTTTTTTAGGGGGGGCTCGAAGACATCGTGGTGCACCATGACTGTGAAGGCACCCCACTACATGGGCTTATTACAGCGCAGAATGGTGTTTGCCTTCTAAAGCCACACATCAAAGCACATCTTTTCCACTCCCCTCAAGTCCAGACTGATGAATTCTGGCCATTCTGAGCCAATGAAACTGAATCATAGGTTTACCACCACAAAGAAATGTGGTTTGATCCTGTCACCTCTATTTAACAACCCACAGTAATCTAACACAACATCTAAACAAAATCTCAGGG